GGGGGGGGGAGTTGGGCCCTATAGCGCGGGTGGGCAGAGCGTGCGTGTGCAGGACAAGAATTGGGGGAGGAGTGGGGATGGGCATCCAGGATCGTCTTAACGACCTGACTGGACCTGGCTGGATCTGGTTGGAGGGCGGGGGAGGGGTAGAAAATCAAAAGTGATTTCTACGCCGTGGTGTGTTCTGCCCATTCATTCCTTGTAGCGTAGCCGCGAAAACGAAATATTTACGTCGTGAGGCGAAAATAACCTACTACGGTTACTCTACTCGCTGCATAGGATGCCGGTCGTTCGTGGAACAACCACAGAGCAGCTCGCAGTCCGGGTGGGATTTTGGACAAATAATTAGTTACTTAACGAGGCGAGGGCGGTTTCTATCACGAGGCTGCGATTATCCCACCTGGCCCTCCAAAAGGAGGGAGGGAGGGGGGGGGGAGGCAGACAGAGACAGAGGGGCGCCTCCCCGGGCGCCATCTGCTGCTACAGTCCGACCCACGACCTTTGCGCTCGCGTCGCCCGAAGGAACGAAAAACAGCGAGAGGGGAGGCAGAGAAAGGGAGGGAGAGAGAGAAGAGAGAGAGAGAGAGAGAGAGAGAGAGGAGAGAGAGAGGGGGGGGGGGGGGACAGCCGCACAGGAAGTCGGAAACGAGGGAAACAAGACCGCGCCGAAGTAGTAGTGTTACCGCTCGCGCCCGCGGGAGCCACGCGGGCGACACGGCAATAAAGCAGGATTATAAACATGACAACAGCAAAAAGAAAAAGGCGTGAGAGAACATAATTGAGACATAATCGTTAGCGTCGGCACCATCGCGGTGACGTCACGTCCAACGCTCCTCCTCGTCACTGACGTGACGTTCCTTTTCGACACGACGACCTTTTGTGGCAGTAGAGATGAAAACATTTCCTGATTATTTGTTGATGCGTTTCTATTCGATCATTTCATAAAAAGTTTAAAATGAATGAATTTTCTACTTGGCTCCTTAGGTGTCGCCGCCGTACCCGGGGCTCGGCGCCGTGCAGCTGGTGCCGTGCCTGTGCCCCATCTCCAAGGACCCGGAGAACGTCCAGTCGTTGCCGCCCATGTCGCAGCAGCAGGGCCCGTCCTACGCGCCGCTGCCGCCGCAGATGTCCATGGCGCACCCGCAGATGGTGCCGCTGCCGCCGCAGATGCAGCAGATGCATCAGATGCAGCAGGTGCAGCTGCACCCCATGCCGCCCCCGCTGCATCAGCACCAGCACCAGCAGCAGCAGTCCGCTCCCACCCAAAGCCCGCAGTCGCAGCAACAGCAGCAACAGCAGCAGCAACAACAGCAGCCCTCAAATTGACTAGATCCCAGCAAACCGAAACCGACAAGAAACCCGCGAGCAGCGAAGCATGAGGTGATCAAAAACACATTGTAAAAGTTTTGAAGCGGCGAACAATCACTAATGTGAATATTTATTGTAATTATTTTAAGACTGATTTTGTACATTAAGACTGACTCTAAATAAAGTACATATTACTCTAAGCTGCAATAAAACCCTAGCTGTATCACTTTCACAATAAAATCGCGTGATAACTTACAAAACGAAATACTGAAACCAAAAGCTACAATTTATGGCGATCGAAAGTACGTTTTAAAAACCAATAACGCGTAATGAATCTTTTTTTTTTTTCGTTCAATATAAAGTATTAAAGAATCGCGCTTGTCCAATTATCCGTTCGCAAAGGCACGCTCGGTTTCCACCGAAAGTGAGCGCTGTGGTGCGGGGCGTGGCGGGGCGGGGCGGCTGCGCGCGGCGCCCTCAGTGCGTGTGACACGCCCCATTACGCGCCTCCCAGGCCGATCAGCAATTGAAAGGAACGAAAGTTATGGAGCCCCATGGGCCGGCACCTCCTGGCGCGAGCGGCAGTGCATTGTGGGGCCCCACAGGGCTCTCTGGCCGGACGCGCCAAACCATGGCAGCTGACCAAAAGCGAAAACTACTCCAGAGAGGCACGCAATACACCTGGCGCCCGGCCGGCCGGCACAGCACTCTGCTAAGTGGCCCTCGCGAGAGAGGTATTTTTGTTTTATTTTCCATCAAACGATAAGAGAAGCAGCAGAGAGACATAAAAACAAACTGGCTTGAACAAATTGGAGTTTTGATACACACTGTTGGGCCCCTTCATCACGCCCTATGGCCGCTGACCGCCCACGTTTACCAACTTATTTGAAAAGAAAGAAAATAGTTGATTAAATAGTCTTAGTTTATTTGGGCGTGAGACAGGCCGGAAGGGTTCTGTCAGTTGCACGAAGAAAAATGAAGACCGTGTTGTGGTGACCAACTCCGTCCGTTTCGTTACCTGACATACCAACTCCTGGTTGGGCGAGTTTCGAACTCCCGAATTCAGTTATCAAATTTACCCTACGAACAAAGTTGATCACTAGAACAAAGTCACCTTTTTATGTTGGAGACTGACAGAGGGACTTCTGGATAAACGTGTTGCATCCAGAGGCTGAGCTGTGGAGGCGGGTCCGGCGGGTATCCCACTGCGCCCAGTCCACCGTGAAAAATATTCGGGTGCACGTTTAAATTGAATAAGCAAAGCCTGGAATTAGGCTGCCAAATAACGTAATAGTTCATACATGCATAACTACACGAACATACATTACACAACAAAGATGTAATACAAAGAGTAACAGACAGGTTCTATGCTAGCGTATTCTAGGGGAAAAAACATTTTGCAGCGAGAGCATAAGTCAAGAAAGGAAAATAATTTTGTGGCACTTTAAAACTAAGTACAGGGGGAAGCAATACGAGCAATGCTTCGTCTGGTGCGGTGCGGTGGTGAGAAGCGCACTGGCTAGCAGGCTGGCGCGCCGTCCGGCTCGGAGACGAGCGCCGTGGAGGTGGGCACGCCCGTGAAACACGCGTGCGCGGCGGGCTGGTCTAACCCGTGCATGCACGGCGTCCGTCCAGGGAGAAGAGTAAGGCGTGGGGAAGATAGGGGAGAGAGAGAGGGGGGAAGAGGGAGAGGGGGAGAGAAAGAGAGAGAGAGAGAGAGAGAGAGAGTGAGAGAGAGAGGGAGAGAGAGAGAAGGATAAAGAGAGACAGAGGGAGATAGAAAGAGAGAGAGAGAGAGAGAGAGAGAGAGAAAGAGACAGACACAGAGGAGGGGATTAGAGTGAAGAGCAGACCAGTCGAGTGAGAGGCAGGTGCATAGAGAGAGAGAAAGAGGGAAAGAGAGAGAGGTGGGGGATGGGTCCGGTCCACGTCCGGTCGTGGAAGGGGAGGAACAGGCTCCGGCCGGCACGGCGCCTGCGGGGCCCGCCCCGGCCGCTGCCCCAGCCGCTGCAGCCGCTGCCTCCGCTCTGCCTGGCCGTGTAGCCAGTCCTGTTGAGGACGCGCAGCGCGCAGCCGGTAGCGGAGCAGAGCCGAGCAGAGCCGAGCCAGTCAAAGCGAACCGAGTGTCCGAAGGGTTCGCACGTATACGAGCCGCGCGTGTCGAGCCGTTGCACCCTGCGGGGTCTTCTGCACCTGCACTGCCGTGCTAGTGTGTGTGTGTGTGTGCGTGTTGGTGAGAGTGAATGTGTTGGTGTGTGTGAGTGCGCGTGTGTCATGTGCAGGCGCTGACATGTGCCTCCTCGACCCGGGCGCGCCGCACACGTTCAGGATTAACACCGCCCCCCGCCCCTGACGGAAGGGCCGAACATGCTAGCGGTGAGTCTATCTTCCAAAGTCATAGGCCAGCTCGCAATGCCGACAAATCTGCCACCACTCGAAAAATAAAAGGCGTCATAGTAACACCTTTGAAAAGTGTGAAAGAGTTTGGTGTCAATGGCATTGAAACTGCCAAAGGGACCAATTTTCAGCACCAAGGAGAGTAGTATGGGCTGCACTTTGTCGCAAATTTTTGTCGCAAGGGGTGGGGGGCCCGGAAAACGAATCCGTTGCATGGAGTGGGGGGCCGCGACGTTTTTGTAGCATGTGACGACGGTGGAGGGGGAAAATATATTTTTTTTTGCCTTGGTCGGGTTTCGATCTCGGAACTTTGGTTTAGTAGTTGGGGGCGCTAACCCCTAGACCACTGGACCGCTGAGGGTCCAAGGGATCTGATTGACATGTGTAGCGGAGAGCGGGCGCTGGCGCGGCTGGCCCGTCCCTTTCTCGGCTTAGCTTGGGTAAGCTTCGGGAGGCGGTCGGCTCGGAGTGAAGGGCGCGGTACGCCCTCTGGAGGCCGGAGCCCGGATGGCTCGGCTCGGCTCCGCTCGG